GCGCACCATCTCCTCTAAATTGGCCATACTGTTCTGATCTGATTGTATTACTGGTATATTTTCCTTTTCTGCGGGAGAAACAGAACCCTGATCCCTACTGTACTCAGGTGGGGTAGACAAAGCCCTCTGTACTGACTGCTGAACTGATATCCTCTGCCTAACTGCCCTCCGTCTAGTAACCGGGGGTAAAGAGTGGTACACTGGTTGTCCGTCTACCAGATCCTCAGATCGATAGAGCCGACGGCCTCTAATCCAGAGTGCTTGGGGAATATCTACTGGGTCAGAAGCAATTGTGCTCGACTACCTAGTAAAAAGATAAATAAAGCAAATAAATAAACGGGCAATTGGACAGTGTAACAACATAAAATAAACACAACACGCAGTTGGGTATCACAACAAATTGCCCACAAGCTGAATGTACTGTTCCTTAATCACTGATCACCGTTTCCAAATCGCTGTCCCAAAGTCTAAATCTGATACCCATAGATGACTGATTCCCAAAAACACTGATGCCCACAGGCCTGACACTCAGACTTGCGAACTGATATGTGTGTTCCCCTGCATAGATACACTCTAAAAACACATAGCAAGTAAAGAGAGCCAAAACACCCCTATGGAGGGGGTAGGGTTTCCCTGTCCTATTTTGTCGGGAGCTAGGGTTTCACTACGCACACAGCGGTTTCAAACAACCTATAATCGGGTAAGCAACCTGTCCTAGCTTGGAATGGTCACTATGGTTTCCGAATATGCACTAGGTCGAATGGTCGAAAAGGGTGCCCCGGTAAAACCGGGGTTTGTGTTCCCATACTGTCAGAGCCCACAACCGGTCAGCCTTATGGCATGCTTTGACAAAGTCAAGCCTCCGGCAAACCGTTCAGGAATGGCAGATGGCAAACACGGTGTCCTAGGCGCACCAATGCACATGCAATACAAAGAGACACATAAGTGAAATCAAAACAGGATATCACAAGTTCGAGTCAAGCTCTCTAACTCCCCAGCAGAGTCGCCAGAAACAGTAGACGCGCCCGCCTGAGGCCTTCGTGCTACAGTTCGGACTCAATTTGTGTTACGGTTCTTAATCTGAACCAAAGAGTCCAGATCCGGAAAATCGTTTTGAGAAACAGATTTTTTTGAAAAAGAAATGCCAAACATGGACTGCTTTGCCAGATACAGAGTCGCCACCTAAATATTTTATTTTGGAAAATTTAGGAAACCTTGACTCGGTGCCAAAGGCCACGTGTCCGTCATCACCAAAGTTGCCTCGGCTCGGGAGCTTGGGTACGATTGGGGAAGGTCAGCTATGAGCACCCCCTCTCGCCCAATCTGAAGATCGGGCTCTACTAACCGTGATATCCGTTTTTTAAAACGTTATGTGTTCTTATTCCATTTATTAGCCTAGAATTACTATGTTATGCGCGCAGTAAACAAGTATAGACCAAATCGCCTAAATTGGAACGAAACATTGCATGTTCGTTTTGAAGATGGTTTGCTACTCGCAAGTAGGCTAAAATGCAGGTTTTGCCACCCTCGAGTGGGCTTTTAGAAAAGATGGTTTTGCCACTATCTAGTGGGCTAAAGCTCACAGTTTTAATGCATTATTCCAATTTAGGTAATTCAACCTCCACCCACAGGCACTCAAGCAGTTATATCATATAAGCAGCTAGCCTCATGGCAATCATGCTGTTATGGCAATACTCACACGCATGCGGTATGCTAAAGCATAAATGCCTAGTACTCCGAGCCAAAACAAAAGCTAGTTAGTAATCAATGCATGATCCTAGCTCATGTTAAGATGGCTAATGCAACACATACAAGATGCAACTACAATAGGCTCGGCTATTCTAAGATGGTATGTGATGATGCTACAACTAACATGTATTCAACTTTGTGATTGAAATACAAATGCAGTTGGTATGATGCGCCGAGCCCGGTGCATGTAAGACAAATGTATGAATGCACGCATGCATAGCATAAGGTATGCTAATTTAAATATACCCTAGTCTACCATCATAAGCGGGTAAATAAAAGGGAAGAAAGACGTGGGATTGGAAGACATACACACACTCACGCACACTTATTACACAATTGCCCTCACTCGGAGGGTCCAAATAAATATTACAGCCCGAATAAATAATACTAAATTAATTATTACAGAATTTCTAATTAATTAACAAATTAAACGCAGAATTAAAGCGGCCACAGCCCCCGCCTCGAAATGCGTGGATGATGCATGCTTGACTCGTCTTGCCCGAAAATTCGTATCATGCCACTGTTGCCTCTGTTTACACTGCCTTGCCCCTCTGAGGACTGCCAAAGTCCAAGGGCATGCTCTATGAATATTGGGGAATGCCACCGACCAAGTAGGAACATCACCGGCCGAAGAGTGTGGTCACCGGCTACCTTTTTGTCTATCGGCCATAAATAAATAGCCGGCCGGCACTGTATTTAGCCGACCGGCTAAAACTTCCCGCAGAACCTGCAGTGGACAGCAGCAGAGGGCAGGCAGCGTATGGCATGGAATTTCAAGCAAATGTAAGCGTGGTCACACTCCCTATCATGCCATGGACTCAAGGGGGGGCATGACCCTCAACCCTCGGGCCATCAATTAGGTATGATGGCCTAAGAAGTCAAGCTTGCCATTCAATGAAAATGCATGCAACACACAAATGAATACCAAGACCCAATCATGTTAGAGTCAAGGGCCTCGGCGACCGAGGGTTGAGAGATGTTGCATCACTTAAAGTATGAACACTTCTCACCCCTCAAGTTTGGCTTGACACCCCAAGATAAACAATGCAATGCAAGTATACAAACATGGCTCAAGAATGCAACTGAAGCTAAGGCACAAATCATGCCAAATGTGCAACAAGTATATGAGATAGCTCAACATTAAGCAAACATGCAAGTAGGATACAATGCAAGCATGCTTCTAATGTAATGTAACATGCTCATGCAAAGGTGGGTTTAGACCACAAAGAGGGGGACCTCAGCCCACCCCAAAAATAGTGGCCAAAGGTGCCAAGATAATGGCGCCAATCATGTAAGACAAACATGCCAATCAACGAGCCCAAGACTAAGGTACAAAAACCAACTCAAGCATGCCTAAAGGAAGACAAACATGGACATTAGACCAACAAAAATCAGTGCCATAGCATGTGAGAATGAGCCTCAAAACCCACACACATGGCATCCCAAAGCCTCAAACACATGGCCACGCACCATGACCTATCCTGAGACATGGAAGGCCAACATTTCAAGGCATGAAAGAGCTGATAAATGTAGACATGTAAGCATGGTATAGGGACTGAAATGGCATGTTAAATGATTCCAAATCGTTAAAATAACCTAACCAATGCATGCTAGGGACTCACACCCTTAAGGCTCACAAATCAAAATGCAAAGCAACTATATCAAACATGTCAAACATGACCAAATCAGTGGTCAACAGACCTTAAGCATGATGAAACATGGCCAAGAACTTCACAAAGTAAAACCAAAATATGAAAGCATGGTGGTCAAATGTCATGATGCATTTCTAGGTAAAAATAGGGGAATACAAAGCAAGTATATTAAGCATGTAAGAGACCACTAATTCAACCAAAAACAGAGGCTTATTATGACCTAACAACATACAAAAACCTCTGAAATGAAACCAAAAACACCTAATCATGCATGCTACCCTTATGAGCCAAGAATATGCAAAAATGAGAGACCAAGGGAGAGGGGTGTCCCTCCCTTATGAAAGACCTTAGAACCCATTCCTCACCATTGAAAATCCATTGGATTTCAGTGGTGAGAAGGCCAACACACCAAGGTAAACAAAGCTTGCCGAAAGAGCACAAAAAGAGGCCAAAAGAGGCCTAAGAGGGGGAGGTCGACCCCAAACACCAAAACAACCTTAATGAAGAATCTTAAGCATGAAAATACAAGACTTTTTTCGGCTATACACAAAGCTTAAATCAACATGCAAGACAGGTCAAAAGCCAATGCAAGATTGGGAAAACTAAAGTGAAGTAGTTACCCTTGAAGAACCTTTGATGAACAACAAATGCAGCCCTCTTCTTTTGATCAAAATCAGCCCAAAAGCTCAAGAACAAACCCTCCAAGCCCCTCAAGGTCGGAGTAAGGTGTGATGGTGTGTGTGCTAGTGCAAAACTAAGGTAAAAATACACTTTCAGGCCACAAAACACACACAAGGGAGGAGAGAGAGGGAAATATATATAGAGAGAGAGAGAGAGGATATATATCAGAATATATGTATAAGCTCTGTGTCTTTTTTTGTTTTTTGCTAATCCCCAACAATGGAAGAGGAGAGGTCCTTATATAGGCAAAGGAAGTGGTTCTAAGCTTCTCAAAGAAGCTAAGTAAAAAGGGGCAAAGGGGGCAAGGAGGTCAAGGCTTCTTGAGGAAGCTAGGACAGCTGGCTAAGCTTCTTGAGGAAGTTTTGACAAAGGGTCAAGCTTCCTCAAGAAGCTTTGACCAAAAGGTGCAAAAAGGGCAAAACAGCCACATGTATGCCCCGAGGCAGGTTTAATGCATTCCAGCTGGCATAGCTGGTATGCACCATGCTTGAAAAAGGTAAAAAAGTGCTATCGGCCAGAAAAGGAGGTCATCGGCCAAACATATGGCTGGCCTGTCAAACTGAGTGCCGACCGGCCAATGGTATAATTCACCAATGGCCGGTAGCCTCAAAACATGGCCGGTGGCCTCAAACCAAGGCCGGTGGGTGTCAGGGGTAGCTAAAAAGCTACTTTCTACCCTCAGAAGCAAAAACACAAGTGTTTGGTGCAAAACCAAACACAGAACAGTCGAGTTGAGAGATCCTGAGGCAAGGCGCATAGCCGAGACCTCCGGGAACTCAAAACGAAACACAAACATGAGTAATCACCGAGTGTTCGAGCGGTGACGTCCAAGTCTTGAGGACGGTCAAAAATGGGGTGTCTACAGTTGTCCTCTTTGTTATTTATGGGTCTGCCATCACGACTTTCCCTTCCCCTGCCTCAACCACGGCCGGATCCTCTTGTTGCTGAAGATTCACCATCGGTTAAGACCTTCAACGCTTGCTCCTCTGTGGTACTACGGTTAAGTTTTTGCTCATGGACCTGCAATGAACTCTGCAACTCATCAACCGATAGTTCATCAATGTCCTTGGACTCCTCAATTGAACAAACTATATAATCAAATTTCATAGTCATGGAGCGAAGAATCTTTTCCACGATGATAACATCTTGCGTCTGGTCACTATGGATCCGTATCTTATTTGCAATCGCCATTGTCCTCGAAAAATAATCTGAAGCACTCTCACCAGATTTCATTTGTAGGGTCTCGAATTCTCGACGAAGTGCTTGGAGTTGGGAGCGCTTGACCTTCGATGTGCCTTGATATTTTTTCTTCATTGAGTCCCATATCTGCTTCGAAGTTTCTTTTCGGAGAATGGTCTCTAGAATTGTACGATCAATTGCCTGAAATAAGTAATTTTTCACCTTGAGATCCTTCAACCTTTGTTCATCGAGTCTCTTCTGCTGTGCTTCTGACAAAACGGCTCCAGTTTCCGGTTCCATAAAGCTGGTTGCCACGAGAGTCCAATATTCTTTGGATCGTAGAAAATTCTCCATCAACATGGTCCAGTGATCATAGTGACCATCGAAGCGAGGAATAGCTGGCTGGACATAGTTATCGATGACCTTGTCAGCCATGCATGATTGCTACTGATAGTAAGAAGGCTGCTGCTTCTAAGGACAATTTCTTGGTAGCTCTGATACCAAATGTGAGAAAAACAGAATCTAATCAAAAGAAGAATGTTGCTGAACTTCTCAATTTTATTCATTGACTGAAAGCAACCTTAAATAGAATATACAAAACAAACTTAGCAAATAATATGAAACTAATCTTGATCCATAACTAACAGACTTTCAAGATAATAGAATACTCCTAAAACTTAGGACACTACAACTGACTCCCAGAAGAACAGGATAACATAGACTTATTCAAAGAAATAATAATAATTAAAATAAACTCTTAACAGAAAGAAAGATAATTATGAAGGGTTTACTTTTCATTGGAAAAATTACATTAACCCTTTCATATCTGGTATTTTTTTATTTTAACTTTTAAAGGGTTTTTTATTTTATTTTTTATTATCACTTTAGTTTTTTATGTTTTAACTTTTGTTTTTTTAAGTTATTGTAAAACCTAACGTAGATCTGAAATTAGATAAAAAAATTATACATTAACAATTTCGTGGTGTAAAAATATTTTATTTTATAAAACTTATACTTTTGATATAAGTCTAAATTTTAATATGATAATATAATTTTTATGTCGACAATTAGCATGTCATTTTTTATTTAATTTTAAATTAAAATTAATTTTAAAATTTTAAAATATAAAGAATTAAAATGAAAATAAAAATAAAAATAAAAAATAGCCAAACTTAAAATAAATCTTTACTAGCAGCCCCAGCCCATACCATTGTGAAAGACAACTTCGGTTTTTTCGAGGTAATAAAGTCAGAGCCATTACAAAGTTGCATGTTGTCGTTGAAAGGGGAAAATAAAAAGAGAAGTGATATGTATCTAAATATTCTATTAAATATTTTATTAAATTTTTTATATGAGGTGAGACTCATATAAATTTTATGTGTATAAGTTTTATATTTATGTGAGAAATATGGTAGAATATTTAGAATTTCTAACCTAACTTAAATAAAAAATGACTTAAGTTACACTTTCAAAACAACAAACAAAAAGTTGTCATTTTGGAGAAAAAGGCATATATGTCTTTTATAATTAAAAATAAAAATGATATAATTTTAATTTTTTAAATCATGATTAAAAAAATATATATATTTTTTATTATTAAATACAACATAAGAGTCACAAAAAAGAGGAGGGGTTAGCCACCCTTCCCTAGGCTTGTTGGTTGGTTGAAAGCCCTTGGCTTTATCTCATTTTTGCTTGCTTTTTTCACCTCAAAAACTTGATTTTCAACACTGTTTTTGTGCTGTTTCAGAGCTTTTTAGTGTGTTAAATTATGCTTTGAATATTCTAGATATGTTGTTGTAAGTCCTCATGGATTGGTGTATAGGCTTTGGTTTCCAATCCATTGGAGTTTATTAAAAAAAAAATTATTATGATTTTATTTTATTTTATTTATTTATTATTTTTTTTGGGTGGGGGGAATGAATAAAACAAAAACAAACCACTTAGTGCAAAAGTCGATTACGTACTCCGTTGAAAATGTTTTAAAAATTAGATTGTGGAGCAAATTAGCAAAACGACTAGCTATCTCCAATCTTTCATTAAATCTGTTATTAAATTTAAATTTAATAAAAAAAAAATGCTTAAAGTGTGAGTTTCAACCCTTTCATCAAATTGATATCAAATAGAGGAAGAGTTACTTTTTTTTTATCAAATCAATGGAGTTTTATCCTTTCATTAGACGTCTTCCTAGACAATCAATTTTGAGATGAATTTGATAAAAATTTGCCCTAGATCGGATGACTGGCTAGACGACTATCCAAATCTCATGAAACCATTGGAGTGTATCATATCATATGAAACTTTTCACCCAATTTTTATTCAAATTTAATGAAAAATTTGATGAAGTGTTGCAGATGCTCTAAAGGTTAGTAGTTTAGTTGTTGTGTCAAACGAAATCAAATCGTAATATCATAATTACTTTGTAAATATATTAAAAGTTATAAATTAATAAAACATAAGTGCTAAAATTTCAATATATTTTTATAAAACATAAAATTTTCAAAATATTGCTTCTAATAATTTTTTATTATTTGTTTTAAAAGTATATCATAAATACACAAAAATATAGTTTAATAATATTATATAACTTAAAATATAAACTTAATCAGTCCATATTAATTAAAAATAATACTACCTCATTATAAGTTGCATAAGATTGAGGCAATGTACAAAAATACAGTGGCCAAAATCAAGACCAATCCATCTTGGTGGAAGCCTGGAAGGGTAATGGAACCCAATCCCACATCCTTTGTATATATATATATATATATGTGTGTGTATATTTTATCAGGAAAAAAAGAAAATGTTCCATGAGGATATTATAGCATCTGTAGAACCTTGCTCCGTGATAACCGATTGACGGCCATATTTTATCCAATCCAAAGAAAGGAACCCACTACTGAGACACCCAATATAGTTCAACCACGTGTCATAAAAGAGACCAAGCATCAATCAGAATATAATACAAGCCTCCGAAAAGAGTTAACAAGACAAAGCCAGCATTCTGTGCCCCCAAAAATCAAACTTAACACACTCTTATGAAAATAACTACTTTCTCCATGAGGCCACCACCCCAGTGGCCCCATCCTCTGTATTATGCACTTTTAGGCCAAGTTTAGAAAGACTAAATAAGTACACTTTTTGATTTTTTTTGTATTATATGTAGAAAAAGTAGAGAGGAGATGTTGGTTGATGTGACCCAAAAAAGATAAAAAGATGAAATAAGTGCACTTTTTTAGTTTAGCCAAACTTGGCCTTAATAAGTTATTACTTTTTAAACCATTAGTCAATAATCTCTCAACCGATGTAATTTTATTACAAAATTATATAAATTTACGTAAATAATCTCATAAAAATATATAAGTTAAATAAAAATTCATAAAAAATTGACTTTTATGAATAGATTTATATTGAACTTATATAAATTCATAAAAATTTCCGTAATATTATAATAGGGTTGTATATGGTGTGCATTGCACAATAGAGAATTTTGCATATTAAATTTACTTGTAAGCCCGGTTTGGAATTTTTTAGCCTAACATTTTGACTATTTTAGTATGGCCAAAAAAAAGTTTAAATTTGGGATAAATTTTTGATTTTTTGTTTATTTTTATTTTTTGTAATTGATTTGATAGTTGTGGAAGAAAAAGTAAAATAATTATGATTTGAATATGACATTTTATTTTATTAATTTAATTAATATATTTGTTATTATTATTATTTTTTTGTTAACTAATTTCTCCTCAATCCATGTGCCAAACATGGTCTACTTCCTAGAAGATGCCAAAACGTACACTATAAATAGAGATCGATCTAGAGATAAAAGAGATATCGCCGGAGCCACTGTCGCATCTGTAATCAAAATCATTCCCAGCCCTGAAACATTGCTCCATACCATCTATATCTTTGGGCAACGATGACTGGAGGTTTTGAACTTAGAAAGAGAAAATCGAGCAATAGCATTCCCGGGAATCCATTTAAAATAGTGAATGTTTCTCCTTCGTCCCCCGTAAACACTGATTCCACCGAATTGAGAATCAGTGATGATCCGAAGAAACTACTAGACCTGCTCGCAGCTTTCGTTGGATTGTTCACAAATCACAGCAAGGAAGATGCCTCGTCTGGCTCGGCTGGCCAGGACCAGGACCCTCCCAACAAAATACTTGCTAACGTGGCCCTTTCGTTGGGTTTATCTGCTGCTGCTGCAGCAAATGGTGATGCCACTCCCCCTGTCAATGGTTCCATTGAACGTAGTGGAGCGCTGCGAAAAGACAAAGAGGAGGAGGAAGAAGAAGAAGATGGGTATCGGCAAAGGTCGAAAAAACAGAGAATCATACTCGACTCGGATGCTGAGTCTATTCCAGACTCTTCACAATGCACACCTCCTCCGACCAAGTCTGAAGGTTCCACCGCTTATTCACCAGATTCAGCCGCATCTGTGGCCAATAGATCTAGGATAACTAGATCTTCAGGTACCTACTCTTTCTGTCTCTGTTTGTGTTTGTGTTTGTGTTTGTGTTTCTTCAACAATGCCATTGTTTAGGATAAATTACAAAGACCATTCCTCATGCTTGAAAAAAAAATATATACACCAATTTCAAGTTTATCATAATTAGAAGATGCACTACAATTTTATCATTTTTATTCTAATAATTTTAAATTTATCTAATATACATTATCATTATTGACTATTTTTATTTTATTTTACATTAAAAATAAAATTTTATAATTCTCGGTTAGATTCAATGATTTGATTCATGATTCCACATAGGATTTTATTTTTAACAACCTCGAGATTAATCGGGCAAAACCCTAGACACCCTTTGTGAGCCCAAAAAGTAAAATTTTACATTGAATGTAGAATTTTATAATTCTTGGTTTGATTCAATGATTCGATTCACAATCCCACGTAGGATTTCATTTTTAATAACCTAGAGATTAATCGGGGCAAAACCTTGGACACCCTTTGTGAGCCCAGAAAATAAAAAATAAAAATTGAAGGTTAAATTTGAGAAGTCCCATTTAATTAATTCTTATTCTCTTTTTTCACTAATAAATAACCTTCTTGAATATTGTCTGCATATGCTTAGTTCTTTTCATGTAATAGATATATAGACATGGCATAAAATTTGCATCCTTATATGCAGATGGAAAGTTTCGTCGGCAACTTCCCATGGGCAATCCAAATAGTTGTGAAAACAACCTTGCCATTGTCCCTCAATCTATCGAGCATCCTGCTGTCAAAGAAGCATTTGACTCAGTCAGGGAGACTCTGCAACCGATTCTTTTGCAGAAGGTGACAAGAATTAGAAAAGACGAACTGACCGTTGAGTTTGGACTTGAAACAGCTGCTTCAATTAATCTGTTGAACCTTGTCAATGCTTCAATACATGGTCTGGAAGAAATCAGCGAAAGGGCTCGCTTAGGAGTAACGTTGTTGGAGGAAGGACAGAAAAAGGTGAATAAAGGGAAGCATATTTTGTTCTCTGCAATTAGTGAAATTCCAAAGCGGATCAAGTGAAATTGAGACCTTCAATTGGAAATTGGTTTGGCTTTTGGGGGTGTGCTTGCGGTTGGTGCCTTGCCAACTGAGTTTTATCCATGTTTGTTTTTTTTTTTCTTGTCTTTGGGGCCCTGTTGGCCAACAGTGCTTTTTGTAGCATCTCTTCATATTCAATAAAGGGTATTTCCATTATTGGTAATTTAATTTGTAATTTTTATCAATTTAAATCACACTTTCAATTGTCTTTCAATATAACCCTTAACATTTTGGACCGGACCTTAACATTTTAGATGGAAAAAGTTACATGGTTTTTATGTGTAAATTTTATCAATTTCTGCATAAGAAAAAAACTAAATAAATTACACTGATGATTCTTGTATACACAAGATTGCACCCTAGAGTTCTGCATTCATTCCAACTTTCTTTTTAAGCAAAGAGACATGAAATATCCAATGAAGGCATGAGTTTCTCTACATTAGCGAGACATGAATATTCAGGTCCTTTAAACCAATATAATTACAACATATGAGAAGATAAAATTTTGTGGTAAACAAATGTTCTTACTAAAATTATTGAATCACATTTATTGCTCAAAAACTCAACAAATATTTTAATGAAATTAAATTGCAGATCCAAAAATTCATGTTTCAGTTAAGTGACCAAAAATTTGTGAATTGAAACACTTGCTGGATACCCAAATTTGTGCTAATGACTGATATGATATGATATTACTTGACACAACTAAACTCCACTTTGATTTGTTGGAGAAATCACAAGAAGCAAGAGAAATTTTAAAAGAAAATACCTTTTGGAAAATGATCCCTGTTTGGTATAATTTTCAGAAATTGTTTTTTGATTTTTTTAATTTTAAATAGAACCTAGTTTGACAAAAATAACTATCAGAAAGATATTTTTGAATTTTAAGAAATTATTTCTATACTCTAAAAAGAAAAAAACTATATGAAAATGATGAGTTTTTCTTTTTTTTTCAATTTTTCACTAAATTAACTTTTAATTTTTTAGATTTTTTTTTTTTTTTTGAAAAACTGATTCTGAAAATCAAACCAAACTATTCTTAAAAAAAAATTATAGAAGGATAAAGAATTTATGACAAAAAATGATGTGACAATGATATTTTTTTAAATATAAGTCACATTGATAAATGTTTTTAACTTTAAAATGATAAAATCAAAACTCAAGTCATATCATTTTATATTATTTTTTTGTATAATTATTTTTTTTATAAAAAAAACCAATAACGTCTAAAAATTTATTTCTTCACAAACACATGCATTATCTCCATCTTTAAAAAAATGAAAAATTTAATAAAATATCCATCTCCAACTTTGTGTAGTAGGAGAGGTCCAAAATATATTTTTTTATTAGCTAAGGTCTCTCGATGAAATTTCTCTGTGATCATATATACCAAAGAAATTTTGAAATCTGTGATCATATCGGAGAAATTTTGAAATTTTTCTGTGAAAATTGAAAATTTTCTGTGTTGGGGGAAAATTTTTTCTAAGTCGAGTAACATTTCTCTAATGTGATTATATCAGAGAAATTTCCCTGCAAAAATTGAAATTTCATTGTGTCGGGTCCAAAATTTCTCTGAGTCGGGCGAAATTTTTTTGAATCGAATTTTCTCTGTAAAAATGTTGAGGGATCTTAAATATTATAAAAATATTATATGTCATTTATTTTATAAAATCTTAATATCAGAAATCTTAAAAAAATTCGTCTAAAATATATATATACACACACATTAGAGATTTGCTATCATTTAAATATTTTATTAAAATTTTTCATTCTTTATGCCAGTGTACATGTGACACGAGAGATTTCACTATTTCTTAAATGTCAACCTCACCTACGTTGTTATTTAAGGGTGGTTTGGGATGATCTAAATAAATGTATTTTTTGACTTTTTATGAAATATGAGTTGGTATGAGTTGAGTTTGAAATGATGTATTAGAGAAGTGATGTGACTTAAATAAAATGATGTGACTTAAATAGGATAGTGATTTTTTGATTTTTTATCCTTTTTAGATCATGCCAAACAACGCGTTAGTCTTCATTTGGCATTGGCTTTTTTGATTGGCTTTTTTGTATTAGGACTTTTTTAGCCTCCTTTGGTTTGATTTTTTTGACTTTTGTTAAAGAAAAAGTATAATGATTACGATTTGAATGTGATATTTTGCCTTATTGACTTATGTAGCCAATTTTATCTTTTTTATATTTTTTTAGCCAAAAATCAAATGTCAAACGAAGCTTTACTGTGTAAATACTCATCTATACTATATATTAAGCAAAATGGGGTTTTTAACTTCAAGTCTTGTGGGAGCTCCAATCTCCCAATCTAAATTTCCTGGTTTTTATATTTATAAAAAAAAAAATTAGCATTTATTAACTTCTCCCAACTCCCAAGTCTTACCATCATAATAACACTTTAATGTATTAAGAACAACCATAAATTTTTTTTTTTTTGAAATCCAATACATATGAATTCCTTGAAAAATCTCAACACATATGATTTTTATCCCTCATAATAACACTTAAAAAAAAAAATCTTAGCATTTATTAACTTCTACCAAGTCTTACCATCATAATAACACTTTAATGCATTAAGAACAAGTATAAAAAAAACAAAAATGCTAGAGGCCCCAAAAATTCTACCAAAAATTTTACCAAATGCCTCATATGGGTGTGCGACCCACATAGGACCCACAATGTGTGGGTCGCACACCCATGTGAGACATTTGGTAAAACTTTTGGTAGAATATTTGGGGTCTCTAGCATTACTCTAAAAAAAATTCTTTGAAATCCAACACATGAATTCCTTGAAAAGTTCCAACACATATGATTATTATCCCTCATAATAACATTTTAATGCATTAAGAACAAGCATAAAAAAAAATTCTTGAAAAGTCTAACACATATGATTATTATCAAAATATTAAACTTTAATATAATATAATAATAAAAAAAGACATTTAATTCCTTGAAAAGTCCAACATATATGATTATTGTCAAAATATTAAACTTTAATATAATATAAAAAAGTAAAAAAAGAAGATATTTAAAAATCACAATTCACATATATAGATAATTGTAAACACAATCCGTACATAACACGGGTGATATGCTAGTAGAAAATAAAATAAAAGTACAAATTAAGTGTTATAAAAAAAACCTGTTCTCTATGCATTATTAGGAGGAATATTTTACTAGTAATTAATGTCCACTACATTTCATATTAATTCGACACTGAGAGGGTGATTTATGATCTGGAGTTGGGCCGAGGTAAAGGCCGAGCAGGTTGAGAGCCCAACGGTGTATGGGGCCGAGACGATCGACTATCCGCCCAGAGATGGGCTGCCAGAACTTGGGCCGGACAGAACTTGGGCTGAGTGTGTGCCGCCCCAGACCGTAAAGAAGCTGCTCGGCAAGGCAGTGCTCGGCTGGACCGAGCTGCTCGAGCAGGGGATGGCCGAAGCCAGACAAGCTGAGTGACCGGCGCCCGGAAAGGCGTGGTCAGCCGAGGTAACTGTTTGACCTGCAGAAAGGCCGACCACAGGAGGTGCCTCGGGCTAGGCTTTGCCGAGATGCCGCCTAGCCCGGTCCTCCTTGGTCTTAGCTAGTGAAGTGCTTGGGTATGAAGCACGGCACGACACAGCGACGGATAGAGCAGTTCGGTTGCCGAGCTCCAGCTATGATGGCAGGCAGTTGAGATTAGGTGATGTTCAGCAAGGTTTATGCTGGCAGATGGGATAGCGGAGCCACGTGTCAGGAGACGACTGGGAGTAGATATGGGGCACAGAGGGTATATAAGCATGTCTGCGCCCCCCATACGCGACAGATGAACACTTTGTAAGGAATTTCTTACGCTTAAACTCCTCTCTCCCTCTTTCTCTCTATCCTAAGGTGTGTGCTAACTCGATCGTCGGAGGGTTTTTTCGGCCACACACCGCCGGGTAGCTCACCATTATTTGCGCACAGGTGATCGGACATAAACGGAGCTTGGAAGAAAGGAGTACGGGCTTGCCAGAATATTTGCTCCCCGTACAATTGGCGCCGTCTGTGGGAACCTTGACAGACAAAACCTTGTCTTCCAGGTTCATCTGATCGTCGTCCATGGCAAACAACGATGAGTTTCCGTTGTCTGCCCTAGATGGAGCTACCCCGGAGTTCACCTGAAGGAGAGAAGGCCCTCTCGCCATCCATCCAATGGCGGACTTGGGGACGCCCACCGGAGGACAGTCAGGAGACGCGCGGGATAAGCGCGGAAGAAGTCATGGACATTCACGGAGTCCAGACGGTCACCGGCGGAGGAGAGACTCACACGCCAGGCGACTGGAGAGTAAGTTGAGGGACCAAGATGCTGTCATCCAGCAAATGGCGGCAGAGATGGAGGACCTGAAGCGGCATGTCAAAGGGAAGGGTGTAGATGGAGTGGGAGACCACAGTGAGCGCACCCCATCCCGTCGTTCAGGTGGCCAGAGTCAGCGATGTACTCAGTCCATATCTATTACCAGAAGCTACCAGGTTGGTGATTCCGACGCGCATGCGGAAAAGTCTAGCGCGCAAGACAGTACCTACAAACCCTCACGTCCGGCAACGACGTCGAGGTATTCTTACTCCGCTCAGTCAGAGGATTTACGGGTGGTCTTAAAGGAGCGGGCTCGCCGACGCGAAGCTCAGAGAATACCTGCTTTCCAGCGGCTTTCATACGGGGTTCACGCCAGCGAGGAGGTCGGAATGCCTCCACCCCGCCAAGTAGTGCCACTCTTTGAAGATATGGACTTGGCTAGGCTGAGCGCCACCCCTTTTTCCCTGGATATAGAAACAACACCTCTTCCGGCAGGCTTCCACCAGCCTAAGTTCACACTCTACGACGGAAAAACCGATCCTTACATGCATGTGAGCCACTTCCGACAGGTAATGGCCGGACATAGGGCAATGACGGACTTATGTGCATAATCTTCCGCGTAAGTTTAGGCGAGCTGGGCTTAAAGTGGTTCGAGAGGTTGCCGGAAGGAGCATACAACGGTGGCATCAGTTGGCCGAGGCGTTTGTTACACGCTTCAAAACCAACACAAGACACCAAAGGAAGTCGATCATTTGCTAAGTGTCAGATGGAACCGAGCGACACACTGAAGGTAAACACTCAAGGTACTGGGAAACCTTCAACGAGATCTTGGACTGCCCGGTCAACCTTACAATCACGCAATACAAGCGTGGTCTCCCGGTCAGACATAGACTGCGGGACTCGCTTACCATGCACCAGCCGACCTCCATGGGCCAGCTCATGCAGCGCATCAATGAGCACATCCGAGTAGAGGATGACGCGTCAGTTTCTACTGTGAAGGCCACTCCGGTAGCAACAGACAAGAAGATAGCAGGCAAGGTGCACGCAGTTGGGCAAGAGTCAAACACTTCCCATTTCAGAGCAGAGGAATCAGACCGAGGTTCAAATCGAAAAAACCGGGGTAGAGGACGTCGG